GAAAAAATCTTACAGGTCCCATAAGTGTAACCATGAAGACACAGAAGCCTCCTTGTTCCCAGACACTCACTGTCACTGAGCACGGTACCCTATACTGTAGGAAGGAACAGGAATGCAACTCAAAATCTACAATAAAAGACATGCAACAAAATAAAAGCATAGACAATGCATTTTCATCTCCCATACCTCTTTCGACTGATGACAAAACAGATATTGAAATGTATAGGACATTAAAGGCAGAGATGGACCAACAAAGAGTAAGATTCAAGAACTCTGTCTATCTAAAGCTAGAGAAATCAACATGTTACAGGGAAGCACACTTACAGAAGGCCAATCCCACTGATACACAAAACAATAGGTCAGGCTACACAATGGAAATGAATGTGCAACAGACCAAGGAAGAGGTTGCAGTGGAGACAATAAACCTCATGTTGCCGAAAAATAAAGAAGAGAAGATGCAGGGAAGTAAAGATGGACCAGGGGTGCTTATGACCCAAACTTCTAATTCATTACCATCTCTCTCTCTCCTCAAATGGAATAAAGAAATGCAGAGACTATCATATGCAGGGGAGATGGTGCATATTGAGCCAATTAGTGGGGATATCACGGAAAATGTTCAAAACAAGAAACAACATATGCGTCAGGAAGAAGAGACAAACAGAGAAAAAACAGTAGCTATGAGAGGTATGACACATGCTGCAGATATAAGTATGAAGTCAAAGGAATCTCCTTCTTCGTATACACTCCATAGAACAGAATTGCTCATGAACATTGAAAGTCAAGGACAGAAGGTACATGAAGGTCAAGGTAGAGTGCTAAGGAAAGTTCATATTTCCAAACCTCCAACTGACCTCAAATTAGATAAAGGTACTCAAGTAGAGGAAGAAGAACTTGGAATTAAAAGACCCACTCTATTTCCACAAATGGTTTCAGCATTATCCGATGCAGAGAAAACAGAAGATACAGAGACAATCGGTGGTGATGTAAGAAAAAGAAAACACCTATCACAGAAAGAAAAGGACAGAGAACAAAACAGAACCAAAGCTGACCAAGACTTGCTTGAAATTACAGGGTTTTCTTTTTCACAAGTACAGCTCCCTGAGTCCTCAGGGGAAGGGAACAACAGTTATGCAAATTTCAATGAACATATCAGCTCATGTAATACAATAGTAGAAGCTAATCAACATATGTCATATACAGACATAATGGACAGAGTAAAAATAAAAGAAGGGAAAGGTAGACTACTTCCCCAAATAATGACTTTGAGAATACAGACATCCCCACCTACACATCTGCTCAGTAAGAAAAGACAACCTTTGAATATTAAACAGAAGGTGGAAGATACACAGAAGGACAAAGGTAAGCCAGACATGGTTCTGAGGAGAGCCTGTGCTTCCTTACCTTCTCCTTTTCACCTGAAATGGGACACTAGAATGAATGAACAGGAAGACACACTAGGAACAACACAACCCTGTTTTCCACCGTTAAATATTAAACATTCATCCTATTCAGGCAAAAAAGCATATGCTATGTCACTTGAAGGTTATATGTTAAAGAAGGATGATAGAC